TTTAGTTTAGTTTAGTTTAATAATTAATTTAATTTAATTTATTATTTAATTTAATTTAATTTAATTTAATTTAATTTAATTAATTTAATTATCATATTTCTATGCCGCCCAACTCCCAAGGGACTCTGGGCGGCTTACAACAGAAATAATACTAACAGTGACATAATTTTTTTTAAAGAAAACTTTATAAAAGCATTTTAAAAACATTAAAAAACACATGTACACCATCCATGGCCGGATCTCACAAGATTGAACAGCGAGATCAACGGCCCCAGGCCTGCTGGAAAACCCAGGTCTTCACCGCTTTCCGGAAGGCCAATAGGGTGGGGGTAGTCCAAGGCCTCAGGAGGTAACTGGTTCCAGAGAGCTGGGGCAGCCACAGAGAAGGCCCTCCCCCCCAGGCCCGCCAGCCGGCATTGTTTAGCTGACGGGACCTGGAGGAGACCAACTCTGTAGGATCATACTGGTCGCTGGGAGCTATGCGGTAGAAGGCGGTCTTGAAGATACCCTGGCCCTGAGCCATGTAGGGCTTTAACAGTAATAACCAACACCTTGAATTGTGGCCGGAGACCAATAGGGAGCCAGTGCAGTTCGCAGAGAATTGGTATAATGTGGGTATATCTAGGTGCACCCACGATAGCTCACGCAGCTGCATTCTGGACCAACTGTAGTCTCCGAACACTCATCAAGGGTAGCCCCATGTAGAGCGTGTTGCAATGATCTAACCGTGAGGTGACAAGGGCATGAGTGACTGTGAGGAGAGCCTCCTGATCCAAGTAGGGTCGCAATTGGTGCACCAGGCAAACCTGTGCAAAGGTCTCCCTAGCCACAGCTGCTAAATGTTGCTCTAATCTTAGCTGTGAGTCTAGGAGGACACCCAAATTGCAAACCCGTTCTGAGGGGGACAATTTCTCCCCCCCCAAGAACCAGGGATGGATAATCGACATAGTCTTTAGAACTATGTTTAATGTTGTCCAGCTGCCTGTTGTTGTTTCTTCACGGCCACCATCATGGGCCGCCATTCTTCCCCCGTTTGACTTCTCCGAGGCTTTCCTACCATCCGCACTCTCAACTGCCGCTGAGAGGTACTCTACAGGGCACCCCTTTCTTCCTATTCCCCTCCAAGGAATCTGGGACTCCGAAGAATCTGCCGATCGGATGGAAAAAGCTGTGTATTTGACTCTCTTAAACGAAGAGCCGTTCTGCACAGCTTTCCCTCTTGACAGCTGGCCCTGCCCAAGTGTGTGTCTTCTCAACGTGCCGAGTTTTCTTTTTCCCCTTTAGCCATCTTCTCCGAATCTGGAAGCGGTTCCAGCAATTCTGACAGCTGCCTTCACAGCTTGTGCAAGGACTGGAGCTCCCCACTCCCTACAACAGCAGACTTCTCCTTAACTTCCCGAGATTTCTCCCCTTATGCTGCTGCGTGGCATAGGGTGAAGGTGGTCCGTGCAGACTACCTGCAGGCTTCAGTGTGCTGAGTGGGCTTGCATCTTCAAGGAACTGGTGTCTTGCTGGGCGCTGTGCAGGAGGCGTAAGGCAAGCACTGCCACCCAAAAACACTGCTGCTGCAATCTCCGCTGCCTGGAACCGCCCAAAAACTTGATGCTCTTTTTTTGCCTCCACACGCCCCATTTTTGGAATCGGGGAGGCAGCTGAGATAGTGGCAACAGTGTTTTTGGGTGTCAGCGCCTTGCCTTAATGCCCCCTGCGCAGCGCCTGTTTTGCTAACTGAGTCCCGACCTCCGCACTTCCCCGGGCCGCATCCGGAATCAGTTCTGACAGAGGTAGCAAAGGCGCAGGGGGCTTGCTGGGAAGTCTGGCACCCTGTTAGAAGCATCCAGGAGGACTGAAGTTCTGCATCTCTATGGGGCCTTGCTGTGAGAAAGCCAGACTTTCAACGCCTACGGCTATAGATAGGAAGACAGGGGCATCTCGAGAGTGGAGCCTTCGGTGCCCTCTTCTGCCCGCATGAAAATCATCCCCCACCTACTCCAGTTAAATGTGCATAGAGTGATAGGGTTTGTTTTAAACGGATAAAAAGATCTGTGCTGCTCATTATAAAAATCCGAGTGGAAGTGAGTATGCTGCTGATCCTGATGCTGCTAGGCAGAGACAGCTTTTTTTCCTCTTTTCCTCCTCAAAAATTAAGGTGTGTCTTATAGTCCGGTGCGCTTATAGTCTGAAAAATGTGGTATTTCTATGAGGAGATGCTGAGAAATAGCTATATTTAATCTTGGAACAGAAGAGTGAAAGGGATCCTGAGAGTATCCTTCAAGAATCATACAATCTGTAAATCTTCTAAGGACTGCAAGTGGATTGGTGGACCTATCTACAGATTCAATCTAAATATAAAGAAGACAGAGATAGGAAAGGTATAAACATTGACTTACAAGAATTAGACAAAATCCTGATGGGCCAAGAAAAAGGCATGATTTCGAAAACTTATAAATTGTTGATGAGAATAGATAGGTGACGAGATAATTAAGGATACAATGATTGCCTGGGGGAAAAACTTTGGGTATTCAATCCATTTAGAAAAATGGCAAGAGATCTGGTGGGGGAGTATGAAATTAGTAGTTTCTACGGCATACAAAGAAAACATCTACAAGATGTTATACAGGTGGCATCTCCCTCCTGATAGACTAGCTAAAATGTTCACTGGACAGTCTGCTGAATGCTGGAAGTGTGGGTTTGAGTGTGGCACCTACTACCATCAGTGGTGAATGTGCCCAAAAGCAGTAAAATTCTGGGGAAAAATAAAAAAAATGGCTTAATGAGATTTTAAATCAAAGGATTGAATGGCGACCAGAGACATGCCTGCTCGGCTCCAAACCAGAAAATATTAAAAAAGACTCATGGTATCTTGCATTACACATTATCACAGCAGCGAGATTGACATACGCTCAACTTTGGAAAAATCAAAATATCCCATCAGAGGAGGCAATTATAAAGAAGATTTTAGAATGTGCGGAAGCAGATAAATTGACTAAAAAAACTAAAAGATAGAGACCAAGCACAAACATGTTTATCCTGGGAAAAATTATATATTTGGCTAGAGAAGAGGAAATTATAACCCAAACTAGATGAGAAATTGTATCTATTGAGAAACTTATACTATAAAGTAAAGTGAGGTCGGATAGACCTAATTGATTTATAAAGGTATACAAGTTTCTGTCTCTCCCGGAATATAATATAGATATACTGTACCGAATACTAGGGTATTAAGGTACTACTTATAGGTATGCTTGTTTTTTGTTGTGTTGTTCTGTATGTTATTTATATGGTGTGTTGTCTTCCTTTTTTTTAATGAAAAATGTAAATAAAGATTATTTAAAAAAAAAAGAATCATACAATCTTTTCTGTATCATGTTAGATAACTTCCTTAGCTTCCTGGAAAGCACATCGGAATAGAATGCTAGGAAAAAAATGAGGGATGACTGAAATAACCTCATAGAAAACTCTGGTTTCTGAACATTTTTATTTTCTCACATTGTTTCTAGTACCCAGATATATATATATATATAGGAATAACACCAACAATAAGAGGTGGCAGGGTGAAAATATAAAACTTGCAGAGACATGGAGAAGGAAACAAAAATGGGAAAAATCTGTATAGCTGATGTGGGGAAAAAACAAAGAAGTGAAAGTCAGGAAGAGGTTTATTTTGTGGCAATGGGACACTTTTAAATATCAAGCATACCCACAACCTGAGAAAATTACAAAACTAACGGTGCAAACCTATACTGCAGCTCTTTTCTGGAATAATACAATGAGTATTATTTTTATACCCGAATCTTGGGTCTTCTATATAGAACCTATTTATTTTAAACATCATTTCTTACAAACCTTATATTTTCCTTTTCTTTCATAAAAAGTCTACAAGTCTGCCAGCAGTGCTGATAAAACATCTGATAACGAAGTTTTAAAAGCTGCATTTCAGCTTTGACGGCTCTCTGTAGTGTTTCTTTACAACAGTTTGGCAAACAAATTATTTCTTTTGATAGTTGAATCATCCTTTCAGTAGAAATATTAATTAATATTAATACCAAGAAATATGGACTAAATTATTTTTAAACTTTAAGAAAAAGTGTTTTCTTTTGTTTCTGTCAACTATCCCTTCTATGATGGGAACCAGTTTGGTGTAGTGGTTTCAGGCACCAGGCTAGAATTTGAAAAACAGTGAGTTCTAGTTTTGGGCTTGGATACAAAGCCAGCTGGGTGACCCTGGGCCAGTCATTCTCCTCAGCTCTAGAAGCTGGTAAGGCCAAACTACTTCCAAAAAACCTTACCAAAAAAACTGCAGGTTTAGTCCAGGTAATCATCAAGAGTCAACACTAATTTGAAAGGACCAAATAAAATAAAATAAAATAAAATCCCTTAATGAATGTAGTAATATTTTAATGCTTTTAAGAAATTACTTGTGTGTACTCGATTTGGTTTCAAATATAACTATTCACTAATTCAGATCTAACTGTAATCTTGTTAATTTTGAAGAGGATAAGTTCACAGGTCTTCTATGAATGGAATAGATGATGTTGAAGAATGCAAGCTGATGCCAAAAGACCTCCCTCTAGTTTTTGGGGACTGATTGAAAAAGGTCCATCCCAAAATTCAAGCAGGATTTGCAGCCAGTCTCCAGAAACTAGAGGAATCTTTTCTCTAGGGATTGGCTGCAAATGCCCTATACTGTAAACACTCCGTGCAAAATCCTACTTTGATTTGGGGATGGCCTTCTTAACCCTCTTTGAAAGAAAAAGGGCTGCCTTTCAGAGGGATTCAGTCCCACATGAGGAGTCTTTCTGGCAAACAGCTTTTATTCCATCTGCATGACAACTTGCAAGTTCACTTAACAACAACGTCAACTGAAAATGCCAGGATTATGGTTCTTTAGCAGACATATAATTTCTTGCATAACAACTGCTATGACCAATGTAGTCTCAATTATGATTGTAGATTGACTATCTGTTATTTTAAAGAAAAACATCTTTTTTAGATCATACCTGTATGGAATTTCATTCAAATCTTTGCTAGTGATATTACTCCATTCCAAAGGATTCTGAAAAGATCAATGTATAAAAAATTATGTATCTGCAAGTCCTAACATTAAAGTATTCCCACCATTATTAATTTTCAATCAATCGTATATTAAGTTTTTGACCATTATGTTCTAAGATAGCCTTACAATTGTTGCCATGAAAGTTTTCACTGGATTTCTTCAGAAAGTTCTGAGGAAGATACTTAAATCTACGAAATGAAACCAGGATATGCATTTAATATTGTTTGCCAGAATTAAAATTACTAGAGAAACAGATTCCTTACCATACTTCGATTTGGGAGGCATACCACATGAAGAGGAGAAAGGAAAGACTGTTGAAATGTATTTTAATGTATAATAATTACTACTTATACAATAGATAATAATTTATACTACTTATAGTTAAAACAAATATAATTAACATCTATAAAATGAATATGAGCAAGGTCTTCCTCTTAAAAATCAATCAGACCCCTAATGCTTCTCCATCAAAATGGGGGAGGGGGAGAAAGGGAGGATTTTGCATTAAAACATTATTCCAAAACTGTTGAGAGAAAAAGTTTCTTTATACAATCACACCAGCTTATGCAACGTTTTACCAAGAATTACTAGAAGTGCAAGGAAATAATTTGGTAATTAAATAAAGATCCGCAGCATTTTTCAATTACCTCAGAGTTTGATTTCCATCCATGTTTTGTAGCATCACTAGTAATGCAATCTTCCAACATATCACATATTGTTACTTGTGAGTCAATCATCTTCACATTGCCAGGGATACATGACCAGTCTGTATTGCAGGCAACACTTCTATAGTCAGCTATTACAGGCATTATTTCTGAATCATGTGCCAACCATTCCCTGGGTCTACATTTACTCATCGTTATCACAGTGTTTTGTGCCTTAGATACCACTGGACTTTTAACATTAATGGCACGACTTGTTGTAAAATTAGCTCTAAAGTCAGCAGTTGCATCAATAGCTTGGCTAATTGCACTTTGAAGGTTTTTACGAGATTCATGGTATGTACCAGTATGTCAGATGTAAATGCCTTATTCCCTAATGTGTAAATAATGTATATATGGGATATCAGGGGTTAACTTATTCTTTGTTTCTTAATGTATTCATAATTCACCACTCCCACTCTTGGCTCCACCCTTTGTATATATAAGGAGCCACCTTCGCCATTTTCCTTGCTTCTATCTGTGAATATTCAGTGAATATAGAATGCCTACTATAATTAAAGAGAAATATATTTGAACCTCTAACTCTCATTATTATTATTGAGTCTGATCCTAAAAATATTGCAACAAACTGGTAGCAGAGGATGGTTAATTGACTCAATAAATAACTAAAAATGTCTAAGAAAGATAGGCCCAACACCAGGGCCTACAGCAAAGAAATAGAAACTGAACAAGAAATAATCAACGAATCCACAAACGCGATTTCGAGAGAATCCGAAGAATACACCACTGAAGAAGAAGAACTAATAAATGAAAATGATGGCCAGGAGGAAATCGAAATAGAAAATAACGAACTCAGTTCAGAGATACTGAAGCTTTTAAAAAGCCAGAAGAATGATGAAAGCCTCATCGCGAACCTCCAAGAAATGCTGAAGAACAGCGGAGCAGCGAGAGAGAAAAACATCGCTAAAGAGAAACCCAAAGACCAAAAAACTGTGAGTGATATGACTACAGAGAAAGTCGTTATGAAAAAGAAAAGATGTGATCCCGCGCGAAATTTTGAATGGCAGCCATCTTGGTTTCAACAAGCCTCCAAAGTGAGCGAAGCAGAGCCAATCAAAATGCTCAGTTCAAAATTTCTGGCGCGAAAAACGTTATCAGACAACGAAAGTGAAAAGGAGGATTCAAACTCTTCGGAAGAGCCAGAATCAGAAAATGAAAACGACTTAACGAAATCCCAAGTAAAGTCAGCAATGAAGACGCTTTTTGCTGCATTCGGGCCAAAATTAAAAATTTCCAAAGCGCCAACGAAGAAGCAAGCGAACAAGCCGATACTTCAAGACCTGCACGCTCCCATCCTGACTTCGAGAACGACGACGCCCGAGCCCAGAGAGCCATGTCGATTCCGCCCTACACCGCAGACCGAAGCAAGTGCCAACGCACCCAAAAGAAAGAGAAGAACAGTCACCGCCATCAGAACTCCTAAGACCGAGCCAGAGACCGACTCGTCTGAAGAGGAACGGAGCGAGCGAGCTGCAATGGAGAGAACCTTCCACGACGACGTCAAACAAGAAATGAACAACGCGCATGTGCGAAACTACGTAGATGGTCCGGAAAGACTTGAACTGGCCAGAGAACCGCGCAGACTCGTTGCGAGCATTCCCATGCCGTTTTGCAATTTCCTACACTTGCGAGACCACGGACTGCCTCAGGTTGTAAGTAATGGACAAAATAATGTGGGTAACTTACCCAGTGACTTCCCAAAACTTAGGGTTGATGGCATTAATTTACAAGAATGGTATCAACAGCTCCAGGTTGTCTTTATGAAAGAAAATTTACTATTTTTTATCACTAGTCCCCCAAGAAGACCTTGGACTTTAAAAATAGATTGTTTACACCATAAGGCATTTTTCTTAATAATATCTAGCGTGTCTCCTGCAATGTATCATAGCATCAAACCAAATCTAACTGTTTCAGAAATAATTCAATGCATGTTTAATTTGTTTCACAGCGATAGTGTAGCTACCACCACAAGAATGTCTAAGGACTTCTTTTCTTCCAGAGTAAAACCAGGGGTTTCCATAAGTGAGCATTTAATATCTTTAAACAAAATAAGAGCTGAGCTGCATTTGAGGGGGGAAGTGATTTCAGATCAAACAATGAAAAGTGTTATTATCAACTCACTTGATTCATCATGGGATAGTTTTATGTCACACTTAGACACCATCAATCTAGGATATTTGTCAATAGAAAGTCTGTCTAACAAATTGATAGCAGAAGACAATTCAAGAAAAAATCGTTATGGCAATCACACAGAACACAAACCTTTTAGGAAGGTAGCTTTCCAAGAAAAATATAATGAAACTTTTAAATGCCACAATTGTGGGTCCAGAGAACACAATAGAAGAGATTGCCCCAAAATTTCAAAGGAAAGACATAGGTCAGAATATAGGAATAAATACAATTATAGACAGTCTTCCACAGATAGACATAAATATAGAAGCCCACCAAATTACAGAGAAAGTAGAGGGGGCAGAGAAAATTCAAAAGAGAGAAAACCTGGTTCACTGAATGGACTAAATAAACAAGATAGCACCAAAACGCAACCAAATGAGAACAATAATTGGCTTATTGATTCTGGAGCAACTAATCACACCACTAATAACAAAAATATATTGTCTTCATTTACAGAAGATAAGTTTGTAATAAAGGTAGCTAATCAAGAAAAAGTTCAAGTATTAGGCAGAGGGAATGTGACCTTGCCTGGTCTAGGAAAAATAGAGGGGGTATTGTTAATACCAGAAATACCTCATAACATACTAAGTGTCATAAAATTAAGCAGAGATTCTGACATCAATATAGTTTTCTCAAAGGGAAAAGCAACTTTAGAGAAGAATAAAACAAATGTAGGCACTGTGATGATTAAAGGAGGCCTACCCTATCTGATAACAAAAGAAAGATGGTTACATAACATTGATTCAAATATGGAAGATTGCATTGAGGCAGATGATGAAAATATTAGTAACAGTGACAATGATGAATGTAAAATATCTCATGATCACACAGATACACACAATGAGAAGAAACCAAAAATAGGTAAACCAATTCATGACGAGTGTGCTCATATCTTACATAGGAAGTTAGAACATGCAAGTTTTCCTGTAGTACAAAAAATGACTGAACACGCAGAAGGTGTCAAAATAAAAAATTGTGAAAATTATTTGGAATGCTCAGTATGTAAATCTACTAAATTAAAAACTAGTCCCAGGCCAAAAAAATCCACCAGATCAACTAACAAAATTTTTGACTTAGTACACATGGATTTAGTTGGTCCATTAACTCCATCAATCACTTATAGAAAACGTTACTTCCTAACAATAGTAGACGATTACAGTCGCTATGGTTTTGTTTACACATTAAAACACAAGGATGAAACCTTTCAAAAATTTAAGGAATTTTACAAACGCATAGAAACACAACATAATATCAGAATAAAACAAATTATGACAGATAGGGGATGTGAATTCATGTCTAAGGAATTCTCCCAATGGTTAAAGGATAGAGGAATGCTACATTACACGTCTAGTCCATTTTCTGCGTTCCAAAACGGGATTGCAGAGAGAAAGAATTCCACATTACAAACCATGATTAGATGCACATTAGAGGATGCTGGTTTAGGCAAACAATTTTGGTCAGAAGCCCTACATTATTCAAATTACACTCAAAATAGAACCTGGTCCAGTATTGTGAATAAGACACCATATGAGGTGATGTATAATAGGAAACCAAAATTAGCACACATGCACATATTTGGGGTCACTGCAGACGTACACATACCCAAACAATTGAGGAGAAAGGGAGAAAACGTATCCAGAAGATTAAGATTTATGGGATATGAAACTGGCACCAAAGGGTACAGATTCATTGATAATAATAATAAATTTATAGTTTCCAGAACAGCTGTGTTCCATGAACAGGCCAACTGGTCTAAATTACATCTTAATGAAATATTTCCGAATAAATGCAAGGATACCAAATCTCGTGAAGAAGGGACGATAGAAAATCAAAATATTAACAAAAGTAAAAGCAAAACCAAAACATGGACAAATAGTCAACACAAAATAAAGACAGACACATTAACAAAAAAGGAAGCAAGATATTTGCATGACTACCATAGCAAACCAGAAAGAGCTATTAGGAACAACAGAAATCAAATACCAAATAAATACAAAGATTACATAATGCATATGGATGGTGAACAAATAACACCTAATACATATGAGGAAGTATTAAAACTACCTCGTGAAGAAAAAGAAAAATGGGAACTAGCTATGAAAAAAG